GTGCCTAAAAAGGAGTAACATAAAAGCAAAGTGATTTAACTTTCTTTTAATTCGAGCACAAAGCAACAAACTCGATAATCAGAGTATTCCTATTTTAATGAATATGTGGTGTGTGACAGCAGTTACAAAATATGAACCACTTCTATTATTACTTTCTTACATGCTGCTGAGACATGAAAAACAAGGAAGCAAACGAGAGGATTTGTGGGAAGAAGACCCAGTGGAAGCTTTAGGAGGGAAATGGTGAAGGGGTAAAATAAGCCATCCAGGAATAAACCTGACAAAAGGTGCTTGTAAGGTTGTAAAAGATGTTAGCAGCAGAGGGGTGAGCAGCACAGAGCAAGTCTGGAGGGAGGTGGGGGAACAGCAAGAGGGAGAAGGGGGAAGCTTTTGTCTTGCATCAATGCACCTGAGTCAACAGCAGCACTCGCAAGCAAAGTGTGGAAGGAGAGACTGGAGACAACATCCTGCAGGGACAGTTCAAAAATGTTCAGAATGTGGCACACAAACATTAGCTGTTTCTACCTGTCTCAGACCCTCAAAGATGACAAGAGACTACATTAAACTCTGGGTTTTTGTACTGTTTCAGACCAAAACACTGTTAAAGTGTGGTGGCCCTGAAGATTAAATCGCAACTACAAAAAAAAAAAAAAAAAAAAATTGTAAAAACTAAAAACACAACTAAAACCCCCAAAAAACCCAAACACAACTACAAATTAAAAAACACAACTACAAATAGAAAAACAACATTTGAAAAAACACAACACTTGAAAAAGCACAACGACATAAAAACACATCAACATATTCAAAAAACTAGAGATGCACGATATTATTGGCATGGTATCGGCCGATATTAGAATTGAAGTTCCATATCGGATCTCGGACATTCCATTAAAATAACTCACCCGGTATAAAAGGTGCTGTTTTTGCCTGCAGCGGCAACACAACGCGATGACGTTACGTGCGCCTACCCGATCTCACGGCGGAGAGGAAACTTCAACATGTCGGCAGTGTGAAAGATTTATTTTTCGTTGGTGAGGATGTCAGATTCCAACGATTAATGGACCATGTTGAGCCTCGCTACATCATCCCCAGTCGGAAATATTTTTCCGACGTAACCTTACCTGAGTTACAAGCTGTCATTTCTGACATCATTGAGAAGTTAAAAGCCAATAGCACTTGGGAGAGTTTTACCAAGACATTTGGACATCGTGTTAGCTCTGTTAGCATGATTAGTCTTACAGCACAATGGATAGACAAAAACTTTGAACTTAAAAAGTCTGTCCTTCATGCACAAGAGTGCAGAGGATCCCTCACTACATTTTTGTGCTTCTTCTAATTTCTTTCTTCTAATTTCAGCTTGTTATGCTCCTTTCATCCTATGTTATTTCAGCGACTATTTAGCTGTTTTATGCTAATTTGAGCTTTTTCAGCTAATTCCACATTTCCCCCCACTCATTTAAACTTTTTTCAGCCTAATTCAGCAATAATTTTCTCTCCCCACTTCCTTCTGGTAATTTTAAGCATTTTTTTCTGCTTTTTAAGCTATTTTTCAGCTGGGTTTTTTTTGTTGCTAATTTCAGCTTTTTTCAAACAATTTTTCACTTTTTGTGCCCGTTTCTGCTTCTTTCAGTGTAATTGGGCAAACATGTTATTTCTGCATTGTTCTGCTAATTTAGACTTGTTCTATCTTTTCAGCTTCTTTTTTGGATTTTTAGCTAACTTCAGCTGTTTTCAGATAAATTCAATTTTTTTTGTGGTAATTTCTGCTACTTTCAGCTTAATTAACTTATTTCTGCTAATTTCAGCTTGTTGTGCTCGTTTCAGATTTTTGTCTGCTAGTTTCAGCATTTTCTGCTTTTTCATCCACTTTTTTTAGCTGGTTTGTGCTAAATTTAGAGTTTTCAGCTAATTCCACATTTTTGGTCATTTCGGCTCTTTCCACTTTAAGCTTCTTTCTGCCTTTTCAGTTAATTTTCATCTTTTTTTGTGTGTGTGTGCCAAATTCAGTTTTTTTAGCTAATTTCCTATTTTTTGTGCTCATTTCTACTTATTTAAACCTTATTCTGCAAAAATGTGTTCTTTCTGCTTTTTCTGCTAATTAGGCCCGAGCAGCAAAGCGCTGCGAAGGCCTATTGTAATTGTGT